CGGCACATTCCCCAGCGGGTACACCTCGCCAGCAGCCAGTGTCATCGCCTTCTACGGGACTACGGTGTAGAATGAACCTCCCCTACCGTGCCGCACGAGAGCAGAGGGGGAATTGAGGAAGTGAGAAAAAGCACACACACACACGTATAGAGAAGGAAGCACGCAACGATGAAGAGCGATGCGGGGTGGGACGAAGCCCGACTTTTCACAACCCACATGGCATCCAACGCAGCGGACAAAACCCCTATGGGCATCTCATCCCCACCGCGCGCCCACCTGCGGGGTTGTGACACCCCCTTCCTCTCCACACTTCCCACCCTCCACAGACGCGCCACCAGCCTGCATGGCGTCATCACGCGAAGCGTTCACTGCCGCCGTTGAAGCCTCGTGTCAGCCCATCGCGCCACTGAGCCTGATGGGGAATGTTCCGCTTCTTATTTTTTCTTCTCTGATCCGCCACTTCCCACAGCATATTCTTACTTCCATGTTCCGCCGGCAGGCACACGTAAAGAGGAAGAGGAAGAACACACTAACGTCACCAACTCCCGCTTCGCGCAGCACATATCGTACATGCAGGGACGAAGAGATGCACGTGCCCAGTTCCTCCCCACCAATGCTGCGGAGAACATCTCGCCGAACAGAGACGCCGGACGAAGCTGAGGGGCTCAATGCCGATAGCGGTGTGACGGGTCCCTTTCTCCAGACCTTCCGCCTTTTGTGCCTCTGCAACAAACGGCGGAGAAAAGGAGTGCGCGTCAAAACATTCAGAGTCTTTTCGGTACTCATGTGAAACAGCTGTTACAGCTTCACAACGCCGAACAACACGGGCAGACCGCGTGTGCGTACCCCAGAGACCAGCTGGGCGAAGGGCACATATGTGCCACAGCATGCCCCCTCGATGAGGAAACCTGTCACATGTAGTTGTCACGACTTGTTCTACAACTTCAGTGGGAATAAAGGGAAGAAGTTTTAAAAGGCCAGTGGCGGCTGTTCGCGTGAGTCACTGCGCAAAATAGGCGCCTGAGGCACACAGTGGTCAATGTTTAAAAACACAACTACGAAAAAGGGTAGGTCGGGGGGTGGGACAGAGACCCAGGCGCACAGGGAGTGGTCTCCAGCCCCTGCACACTACAGAGGCATGGTACCAATTAACAAGAGTCCCGGGTCCTCTCCCTCTTCACAAGTCGTCGCGTTGTTCAAGCATCTCGTACATCGGGTTAGTGTTCTCGATGCCAACGTTTGTCATCCACTTTGTAAGATCCGCGACCTTGGAGCCCTCCATGACGGACATCAAGCTGCCGACTGAGCTACACGTCTCGCGGTTAGCCGCCGAGACCAGGCAGTAGTCTGCCATCCGCTCCAGCAGCAGTTTGCCAGCGTCGTAGTACACGCCCTTGTAGGAAGTCTTCAAGAGAGCTTCGGGCTTTTTGCGCAGCTTGGTCGCGGTGCGTTTCCCGTGCTGCATGAAGAAACTCTCCGTCACATAGGCGAGCGTTTCGCAAATATCAGACTGCGGCTTCGCCGATGCATCAAGGCCTCGCTTTACAGCTGCCTCTACGCAAATATTCTTAGCGTTGTCCCTCCACACGTCCCAGAAGGGTGCGTTGGGCACCTCACGCTTTCCTTGGTCACTGAGAGGCTTCTTGTCACGGTTCTGAAACGCAACGCGCACGAAGTCCGCCTTCTCCTGGCAGCCAGGGCAGCTGAGGCCGCGATCCTCCAGGAAGGTGCGAAGGTCTTTGATTTTCATGCGCTTAAAGTCCCCCTCCGTCTGCTCCGCCGCCACCACGGTGCACGTCAAGAAGAACAGCAGCACCAGCACCACCTGGAGCAAAGGGAAGGCGTTACCACGCAGCAGCTGACGAGACATCGGTACTTCCTCAATAAGGGATGTCTTTTCTCTTATTATCGTTATTTCCTTCGGGGAAAACATTTCGCAAAAGAGAGNCATTTTCTCTTTGGTGAACGAGTGTGTGTGAGTGTGTGTGGCCCACTCTATAGAGCCAGCTCATTCCATTCTCTCTCCCAGTCTCCTTTTGTTTTCCGATTGGCGGCATTCGCTTACGTGTATTAATCTGTTGTGTTAAACGAGGCGTGGGCGCCCCACCCACTTCCCGCATCCCCCCACCCCCGCAGAGTCAACAGGAATCGGAGTCGCTATCACTGTCGGATGCTCGGCGGCGCTTCTTGCTGCACCTCTCGTGATCCTTCGTGGGCGCCGCATGGCGCTGCCGATGCCGGCGGTGCAGCTCATCGAACACCTGCCGGCTCACTCCCTCGAACTCCTCCGGAGCAAAGTAGGATGGACTCGCCTCCAGCAGCCACTCGTCCGACACCGCTGTCACGGTGCGGATGTATGTGTTGCTGGTGAGCACGAGCTCATTGAACACGACGAACTTTGGGCGACGGTTGAGGAAAGTGGAGGGGAACAGCAGAGACTTGACGTCATCCTTCAGCGTGAGGAATTGATTCTTCGTTGGCAGTGAGAGGGCAACCTTGGTAAAGTAGCCACTGAGAATGGCGCGGCGTATCTCATTCGCAAACTCATCGTTGCTGCTTGAGTCACCCCCTGCGTCACGCTGGGCAGCGGAGTAGGAGCTGCATATGTTGTAGTTGAGACGCCGCATGACGCCAAGCAGTTGGCGGTAGATGCTGACGGCCTGCTTCATGACACGGGGGTTCAGGTAGTTCTCAGAGGCCCACGACGTGCTCTGCTTGTTGGCATCGTGGAACGCGTTGAAAGTGTTCAGCAGCGCAACATGGTCGCCTGTTGGATGATAGAACTGCTCACGACACCGCATCGCACGTCCACGCTGGTCATTGGGTGGGTTGATGAAAGGACTCTGCACCGACAGCATCGCACAGATGCGTGCGATATCGTCCGAGCAGCCGTACTCGGGACTGTGGAGCAGCATTGCAGCCATCTCCGGCTCCAGCGGCAGTTCCGCCATCAGTCGGCCAAAATCTGTCAAGTCGCCATCGTCATTGATGGCGCCTAAATAATTGAGCAGCTCCAGCGCCCGCATCAGTGTTTCCGGGGCGGGCGGCTCTACAAAGTCGAAGTTGACCAGGTCTTCGACGCCCATCATCTTCATGTGCAGCACGACGGAGCCTAGGTTACAGCGCAGAATCTCTGGGTATGTCTGCGGTTGCAGCAGCGTGCTGAATGCCTTTGCGGTGTACAGGCGGAAGCTCTTCCCCGGCCTCGTGCGGCCGGCGCGGCCGCAGCGCTGCCGCGCACTTGCCTGACTGATGGGCGTCACCAGCAATGACTCGACACGCAACTTCGGATTGTAGACCTTTTGCTTTGAGAATCCGCTGTCGATGACAAATACGACGCCGTCAATCGTGAGGGATGTCTCGGCTACGTTGGTCGCCACGACAATCTTGCGCGTTCCTGCCGGCACCGTCTGGAACACCTTACGTTGTTGCTGCGGCGGCAGGGCGGAGTATAGTGGAAGCACCGTGACAGGTCCCTTGTGGCAGTCGGCACTGCTGTGCTCCGCCATGCGTATGCCGTTCTGCAGCCGCTCCACTGTTTGCTCAATCTCGTCCTCGCCGGTGAGGAAGATAAGGATGTCGCCATCGCCCTCGTACAGGTGGATCTGTGTCGCTGTGCGTATCGCCGCCTCAACGTAGCTCGACTCCGGGGCGCGGGTGTGGTACACCTCGACACCGAACATGCGGCCGGCGATGTGCACCAGCGGCGCCTGCGGGAAGTACGCCTGAAACCGCTGCTCCTCCAGCGTCGCCGACATCACCACGACGCGGAGGTCCGGACGCCGCGGCAGCAGCTCCTTTACCGCGCCAATCAGCACATCGGTATGCACCGTGCGCTCATGAGCCTCGTCGAGAATGATGACGCTGTAGCGCCGCAGCAGCGGGTCGCCCATGGCCTCCCGCAGCAGCATGCCGTCCGTCAGGTACTTGACCCGCGTCCGCTCGCTGCTCATATCGTCAAAGCGGATGGAGTAGCCCACCTCCTCGCCTAGTGTGACGTCCAACTCCTCCGCCACGCGCTCGCTCACACTGGTGGCTGCCACCCGGCGCGGCTGTGTGCACGCAATGGCGTGCTCAGGGTTCATCTCTAGCACAAACTGCGGCACCTGTGTCGTCTTGCCGCTCCCAGTCTCGCCCACCAGCAGCAGTGTTTGGTAGCGCGCCACGAGGCGCTGGATTTTGTCCTTCGCGGCGAATACCGGCAACTTCTCTCGCCCACGCAGTAAGCTGTAGTAGCGGGAGCTCAGCGCACGCCCCGTGTACGGATTCCTACCACCCTCCATGCCTCTTTCCTCCCTTTCTCCAGGCTTAAAAAGAAAACACGAAAAGAGGCGTATTATTGCCACCCGAGTATAGACACTCCGAGGCCCCACACTCCACAAGGGAAGTGTGGTGAGTGCCGACTTCCTTCCAAGCAACCGCATGTTCAACAGAATGAGAGCAACCACGACAAAAACAAAAATATTTGCATGTTTTTCTTTGCTTGTTTCTTCTATCTTCGTTGTTAGAATCAAAGTTCGCCTACGCTCCTGTAATGAATGGGCAACAACACGATCCTGGTGGTAGCAGCAGCACCCTCCACTCCCCCCAAGTGCTCAGATGAATGCGTTGGCGGCGAGCCACTGGCGCAGCGCAATGTACTCCCGCAGCCGGCACTCACCGTAGCGCATGTAGTCGAGACCACTGCCGCCAACAGCGAACGCCTCGGCATCGACCGCGCAGTCAGCGCACTCGTTGGGCACGCAGCCCATCACAATCGCCCACAGCGTCCAGTGGAGGTGGGAAGCCAGCATGCCGAGCAGCAGCTCACCCAGCTGCGCCTCGCTCAGCGACACTGTGTCGAGCGGCACGCCGTCACGCGTCGCAAAGTACCGCCGCACCGCCAGCAGCGCAGCGGAGCCGATGTCAGCAGGGCCACTCCAGGCAGCACCGCACCGCCACGCGTCTACGATGAGCTCCGGCATCCGCGGGTACTCCTCACCGAGACCGCGCCACGCCTCCGCCTTCGCGGCGGGCGGGAACATGTGCAGAAATTTGATGAAGCCGCGGCCGCCAGCCTCCGTGCCGCGCGTGTAGTCGTAGTCCAACTCGCACAGCGTGTTGCCCAGGTCGAAGCAGCGGTAGTTCGCATCCGTGTACTCAAAGTCGATGAACAGGTACCCGCGCCGCTCCACAAGATTCTTGCTCTTGCCCTTCCGCGTCACGTAGCGCGTCGACAGCATCGAGCTCTCCACCGACACCTGCGACGTCACCTCGTCGTCGCTGCTCAGCGAGTCATCGTTATCGCGCAGCCCCGCCGGCACCTTCCGCCGCGACACCAGAACATTGCCGGGGTTCAGGTCATTGTGCGAGAACACCACAGGTGTATCGCGCTTCTGCAGCTCACGGCGCACAGACATGATCTCCCCCGCCAGCCAGTCCACCAGCACCCGCCGCTGCGGCTCCACAACGTGCGGGGACATCAGACGCAGCAGGCGGAAGCTCGCCCGCTCAAACGACGTCGGGCACACGCTCTCCAGCGCCTTCTCGCGCGTTAGAGTGTTGTAGTACTCATGCCCTCCCTTCAGCATGGCGGCCACCTCATCAAGCCTCGGAAACTGAACAGCGCTCCCGTTACAAGACCCGTCATGGTCAAGGTTCTCCGGCAGGAACGGCGCAGCGGGCAGACGGTGCATCTGGCAGAGCCCCTCGTACACGTCCGCCAGCAGAGGCGGCGACGACAGCAGCATCTCCGTCGTGCATGTGTACACACCGTCCATGAACTCCTCGACCCGGCCCCACTGGAAGCTATGCAGCAACGCGGGGCTCATCTGAGTCTTGCTCATCTGCCGCATCGCACGTGTGTCCCGTGCGCGGTCAATCGCCCCGCCGCCTCCGTCGCCGTACACGCGCAGCAGGACAGCCTTCCCCGGGAACGATGCGTGGCCAAGGCGGTACACGTGGTTGCTGTTGCCGCCGGAGAGCCGCGTCACGCTCAGCTCATCCGCCAGCCACTGCGACACATCCGCCGGGCCGTTCAGCAGGCCACGCGACTCCCCGGGGCACGTACACCCCACATGCGGGTTCGACCTCCCCATCGCCTTGTAGTAGCTCGAAGGGTCGAAGAGATGGAGCAGCGGGCACCAGTCCTCGTGCCCACGCATATTGCGGAATCTCTCCTCGCTGTTATCGGGGTGCACGCAGGGCTCGTCGCCGGAGGCTTGGTGCATCTGCGTCGACTTCCCCATCGCGACGTGGTACAGTGAGCGGCAGAGGCGGTAGATCAGCTGGTCCAACGCCATCTGCTCCTCTGTCCGGTCACTCAACGTGATGATGCTGTCGAGCGACTCAGCCGACACCCACGACAGAGCCGGCGACGTTTGCACAGGCGAGACGACAACGCCAAACTCGCACTGCACCAGCGGCGGCTGCGGTGGGGCCTCTGACGAACGGCGGATGACGGCGTGAAGCGGCACATTCCCCAGCGGGTACACCTCGCCAGCAGCCAGTGTCATCGCCTTCTACGGGACTACGGTGTAGAATGAATCTCCCCTACCGTGCCGCACGAGAGCAGAGGGGGAATTGAGGAAGTGAGAAAAAGCACACACACACACGTATAGAGAAGGAAGCACGCAACGATGAAGAGCGATGCGGGGTGGGACGCAGCTCTACTCGTTGGCGTGCATGCTCCATATAGAGACCCCTCAGTCAGTGTGATGGCCACAACTCCCTTTCTCCCTTGGCACGAATTGAGAGAATGTGTACGAGATGCGAGTGAGTGCGTTGCTGCCCTTCCCTATGCTGGGTCGTCTAGTATTGAACGTCAACGCCCATAAGGATGGCGGGGTTGCGTGCTTTTCTTGTTTTTTTTTTACTTTTCGGTTTGGTCTTCTTGTCTCACGCTACTTCCGTGCGATTTACTTTTGGTGGCTTGGAGGGGACGATGTCTCTGTGGCGCAGCACGGCCGGCAGCAATCCAATGGAGTTCCACCGGCGTGGCATTCGCATCGTTTGTAATTCACTTCTTCTCTCCCCGCTCGTCATTCCCTCCATTCTTTTTTGTTATATCTTTCTTGAGTCACCGTCAAGTCCTCTTCGGTTGCAGCTGTACAGTCTTACCACTCCCCGTCTTCCACCGCGACTCACACGAGGCATCGCAACGCACACCGCGCACACACTGTTACATGGAGATACGCACCGCGAGACACTAAGACGTGGTGTGAATATCGGCGTTTTCGCCGTGCACGACGCGAGCGGTTTTACATGTCTGAAGAGCGATTTAGATGGAAGACAGAAAACCTTCGACCGGGGGCACTGGGGGGCACACACTCACCTGCAGACTCGCACACACACACACACACGCACACACTCAGATACACACACGCACTCACACAGACAGAGACAGACACACCAAACAAGTCATCCCACAACTTTTGTTCCTGCATACACATGCAAGACACACAAATGGTTGCTCCCTTGTTAGCTCGCCTTTCTGTTTCCCTTATTACGTCTCCTCAGCTTATACCACAACCAAAAAAAGTAAAAAAGAAATAATAAAATAGAATAACGTGGAAACACGTATTCCTTTTGCTGTCGATTGGATTGATTACAGTTGCATCAACTTCAACATTCCCTTGCCCTTAAAATGGTTTTTTTTTGTGATGCTGATTCTTGGGGGGTTTCTTTTATCTACGTGTGCCGCGCACCACTCGTTGGCCACCGCACGCACTAAGTGGCTTGCTTCACACCTTCTCTTTCCTCCATTATCTTCATTGCTGTCTTATGTTTGCTTCCACTTATTGCCTCGTATCCCTATGTTACACTATCCCTCACTTCGTGGGCCCCTCCGCGATGTCAAGGAGATTCGACCGCAGTTCGCGGTTGAATATGGCGCCCAGGCCGAAGGAGGGTAGGATGCGGACGATGCGCAGCATCGTGGACGACAAGTACGTCTGCCGCAGACTCTCATTCAGGTCCTTCATGTTGAAGTTGGGGTACGTCTGGCGGTAGCGGATGGCGGTAATGTGCATCAGCGTCGTCACGAACTGCAGCACAGCCGGCGTGAGAATCTGCGCCATGTCCATGTTTGGCAGCGGCATCTTCACCTTGCCCTCCACCGAAGGCGGAGGCTGCAGCTTCGCGTTCTCCGCGGGGTTCCAGCAGTACTTGGAGAGCCATGCGCCAACCATTGGGGCAATGGTGAAGGCGGCAACACAGGTGAGCGTGTCGCGGGCGCAGAACAGCCCACGCGTCATCCACGGCACGGGCTTGAGGGCAGCAGCCCTCGTCTCCGCGCTCACCGGTGGCAGCGATCGGAGGATGATGCTGTCCTTCCAGACCGTCGTGATGGTGTTCATGACGCCGCTCGCGATGCCGGCCGCGAAGTTGCCGGACGCATCGCTGTAGCCGTTCGCCTGGCAGTAGCTCTTCGTCATGTTGGAGCCGATGTAAGTGGCGGTGTACACCACGAAGCAGACGCCGAACACGAGGCTGCACTTGTTCTCAGCGCTCGGCAGGAAGAAGCGGTGTGGGCGCAGCAGCAGCGTCTTGGTGCCACGCCAAAGCTCGCGCATGCTACTGTCCGTCACCCCCGCCACGCGCGCCATGATGCTGTAGTCGATGATGGAGATGGGAATCGCCGCGGTTGCGCCAACAACGGTCGCGGTCGCCAGGTCGGCCAAGATGACGCTGCCGGTGAATTCACGCACCCGGTGCAGGCGCTTCTCCGGTGGAGCATCCGTGGCGGTTTTCTGTTCCATAACGCTTTCTTCCTTACGCTTCTACACCACCCACGTAGCGCCAAAGAGCAACACGAAGGGAGAAAGAGACAGAAACGAGCGTGGCAGTGAATGATAACTCTGGCGGCCGCTATGGGCGAGCCGCCGCGGAGGCCACGTCACTGCTCCCCCTCCACCACTCTCACACGCACGCACACACAGACAGAGAGAGAGAGAGAGACACCCACGCATGCAGAAAAATAAAATTTTGGAAGGAGAAATGAACGATAATTCACTCGATACAACTATCTCTCTCGCTCGCTGACAGAATGGCAATAAAAAGTAAGAGAGGCATTGAACGCGCCTTTGCGTAGGGCCTCTTCACTAGCCCCAACTACGTATCGCTGTATGTCCTACTGCCGCTGCTTCTGCGCCGCATCCTCCGCGCCAAAGGCGTCGACCAGCACACGGGCCAAGTACTGCCGCAGCTCCGCCTCACTCTCCCACCACGTCGTCTGCGTGTCCTCCTCCGCCCCCGCGAACGTGTCGAGAGCGTCGAGGCGCCGCGACACCTGCTCGGCGCTCTCACGGCGGCTGTGGAGTTGTGTGGTGCCGCCCTTCGACGACTCACGCGGCGGCGAGCCGGGCAGCATGTCCCACTTCTTCAGCGTCCGAAAGACACGCACTCGTGCATCCGACGGCAGCCGGTCAAAGTCCCGCTCAATCGCTAGCAGGCGTTCACTGCGGCTGCCGTAGCGGTAAAAGGTCGAGCTGCCGTTGCCGCTGTTGTTGGTCAACTCACTCTGGAAGCCGGACAACAGAAACTTTTGCCGCGAGCGGTTTGCGCACCGCTTTGAATTGCGGTTCCCCAGCGTCAAATCGCGGCTGCGCTCCGGCGACACCACCCCGTCCCAGTCCTCGCCGTGTGCCCGCGGCGTCTGGCTGAGCATCACCGCAAGAATGTTGCGATTGACGATGTTGCCGTGCTCCGCAATGGTCCTGCGCAGGCGCCGCTTCCGCCGCGCGTCCGCCTGGGCGGCCTCCGCGCCCGAGAGCCGTCCACGCCGCTCCTGCTCCCGCCTCGAGCGCGCAAGACGCTCGTAATATACCGCGACCGACCTGCTGAAGAGCATCTTCTGGTACGGCGTCATCCGCTGCAAGTGCGCGCGCTTTGCCTTCTCCACCCGGTCGGCGGCACCGTTGTGCCACTCGCGCCACACCCGCCGCAGCAGCGCCGCCTCCGCAGCTGCGCAGATGGAAGAGAGCGCGCCGTCTCGCAGAAAACCGTGCATG